TTTCAAAGATCTCTTTACGAAGGATCCCGATCTCAATGATTCAACCCTCAGAGACGGGAGTTTCCCTAGAATCCAGGATCAGTTATGGGATACTCTAAATAAGGATTTCACTTTGGAAGAAATCAAAGCTGCCCTTTTTGACATGAAGCCGCTGAAAGCCCCGGGGCCTGATGGGTTCCACGCTTACTTCTACCAGAAGGCGTGGGATGTGGTTGGAAGCTCGGTCTTCAAACAGGCAAAGAAATTCTATGAGCACGACACTCTTGAAGAAGGAATGAATGATACCCTCATATCCTTGGTACCGAATAATGAGTGCCCTACTAATGCTAGCCATTTTCGACCCATTAGCCTTTGTAATGTTATTTATAAAATTATCACAAAGGCTATGACCAACTGGCTAAAACCTGTACTCAAAGAAGTCGTTGGTATGGAACAAAGCAGCTTTGTACCTGACAGACAAATCATTGACAATATAATTGTTTACCAGGAAGCCCTCCACTCCATGAGAACAAAGAAAGGTAAAACAGGAAACATGATACTGAAAATTGACCTCGAAAAAGCCTATGACAGACTTGACTGAGGTTTTATTCGGGACACCCTCCAAAGGGTGGGTATGAATGATATCTGGACCCGTAACATTATGCACTTTGTGGAGACCGCAAGACAGGGCATAATCTGGAATGGTAAACAGCTTGACTGGATTAAACCAAGCAGGGGTATAAGATAGGGAGACTCAATTTCTCCTTACCTTTTTGTCTTATGCATGGAACGCCTAAGCCACACCATCAAGGAACAAGTTTGCAAAGGCAATTGGAAAGGAGTGAAGATCAGCAGGTATGGCCCTACCCTATCCCATCTTTTATTTGCTAACGATATGGTTCTTTTTGCAGAAGCCTCGCAGGATCGAATCCAGGTTATTAAAGACTGTCTAGAATGGTTTAGCAAAGCCTCAGGTCAAAGGGTCAACCTAAGCAAGTCACACATCTTTTTCTCAAAAAATGTGGACACCAGAGTCAAGGAAAAGATTATATAGTTGGCTGGGATCCTGGTTACACCAAATCGTGAAAAGTATCTTGGAGTACCATCCATCCATGGTAGGATAACAAACAATCTGTTTGACCCCATTCTAGACAGAATTGACAACGGACTAGAAGGTTGGAAGACGAAGAACATCACGCTAGCTGGAAGGCATGTCATAGCCCAATTAGTTCTACAAACTATCCCGTACTATTGCATGCAATGACTCTCCTCCCTACGGGCATTTGTGAGGAAGTTGACAGAAGAATAAGACGGTTTATATAGGGGGGGGGGGGGTCCAGGAACAACGCAAGTGTCACTTGGGGGTCCAGGAACAACGCAAGTGTCACTTGGTAAGATGGGAAAACATTATCAAACCTAAACCCACGGGCGGTCTCGGCCTGAGATCATCCAAAGATGTAAACCTAGCTTTCATGGCAAACTTGGCTGGAGAATTCTTAAAGATAAACAAGGCCTCTGGAGCAGAGTTCTTAGAGGCAAATATGTTCATGATAGGCACGACATATAAATTTTCAGACCCAAAAAAGGGATGTCTAACGTTTGGAGGGGCATCACTAAAGTTGTACCTCTTGTTCAAAGAGGTTTCCGCCATATCGGTAAGGGTGGAAAAGATGTGAGGTTCTGGAATGATGCTTGGATCACAAAGAATCCCCTCTGTGAACATAATGACTTCAACGACAAGAATGAAGATATGGTCTAGGTCTCATACTTCTGGAACGGCACACAAGGTTGGAAATGGGATTATCTAAGTAATCTCCCCTCTGAGATACATAATATAATTGCTCTTATGGAGTTGGAGGAAGGAAGTGATGAAGTTGTTCGGGTGGAGGAACCCTCAGGTAAGTTTTCTATCCGATCAGCATATAACATTATTCATGGATGTGCCTCGAATGCGCAGGAACCAGCCTGGAACAACGTATGGAGGCTTAGAGTTCCCACGAAGATGAAGATGCTCCTTTGGATCATCCTCCATGATAAGATAATGGGAAATGCCAAGAGGAAGAGAAGGGTTTTCACATTGTTGGGAGACTGCCCACACTGTCCAGGACAGGAAGAGACCACAACACACATCTTTAGAGAGTGCTGGAATGCAAAACAAGTTTGGAATGGTTTGAAGCACATAGCTGGTGACTGGTACCCCTAATGCACTGATCTGAAAAGTTGGATTACCAGGAATACCTGACCCAGCACGAACGAGGGAATCAACAAATCGTCACTTTTTGCAGCAGCGGTTTGGTGGATTTGGAGATGGAGAAACAACTACATCTTCCAAGGAGAGCTGATTAATATTGAGAGGAAAATTGCTTGGCTTATTGAAGCAGAAAAGGAAATGCACACAGCCTTTGAAAAACAACATGCGATGAGTAATCAAAAGAACAAGGGAGGTTCCAGAGACCTCTACTAGAGCCCGTCATCTAACCATTCCTGGACTCTGAACGTGGATGCTAGCGTGAAATTCCCATCACAAACTGCAGGCTTTGGAGGCATACTTCGAAAGGCAGATGGCAGTTGGAGAGGCGGCTTCTATGGCAGCTCTTCTCACGCGGACGCCTCTATCGTAGAAGCTGAAGCTATATCAAATGGCCTAGCTTGGGCATGGAGACTAGGAATAAAAGATGTTGAAGTGCAGACGAATGCAAAACACGTTGTCAAGTGGATTATGGACGACTGGCAACTGAGGGGTCCAATTAGTGACCACATTGATGAAACGAGAAGGTGGTTGAAAGAGAATTGGAAGGCGTCGATCAAAAACATCTATATCGAGAACAAAACCAAAGTGCAGATGTTGTGGCCAACATGGGAACAAGTTTGGGAGAAAATGGAGAGACCTCGAAGATTGCCCCTTGGTATCGACAAGATTGTAACTTGTGAATGCATGAGAGCTACATGTTTACGGGGAAGTAGACAGTAGCGGGGTCGCCCCCCCCCCCCCCCCCCCTTCTTCTGATTTAAAAAAAAGGTGTGCTTTCCGGCGGGTCATAAAAAAGAAAAGCATGGTTGAGGGTTTAAGGTTAAATTATGCATCTTAAATTAGTTAAGAAAAATTATATGTTCTAAAAAAAAAAAAAAATGAGTATATTCCTATTGAGAAAAAGAGAAAGAAGGGAATAATTTTTTTTTTTCAATTACATTGGTCTAGATATTGATGATAAAAACAAATTCATAATTTTTAGATATAAAAATTATTTTCATTCACACAATAATTTGACATTCTTTATCCACTTGGCCACCCTTTCTTTGCATAAAAGAAAAGGGCTTTTTATATATTTTTATTTTTTAAAATAAATTAAAAAACTTAAAAATTAATTTATTCTCTGCATGGTAAAAATAAAAATAAAAAAATAAAAAGATATTCATAAACATAGGCATAGCCTAAGGATGGCAGAACTTGTTTGAAAAAGCTAGATACTTTCGAAATAGCAACTATAAAATATAAGCTTTGTCCTCATGCACCCTCCAAATATATTAAAAGAAAAACAAGAAAATAAGTTTTATCTTTTGGAAATTAAAATGACGTGTGTACCTATGGATTTGCATACATACCAAAATGCATACACCAAGTAGGGATGGTATCCACTTCTCATGCGATCATTAAAATATAGGCTAAGTCTTTTGTGAGACTGTCTCACGGATCCTTGTATGTAAAATAGGTCGGGTCAAGATGAAAATGTAATGCTTATGCCTATAAAATGTAACACTAACTGATGGAGTTGTGGAGCCTGAGGCTCATTTTATTGACAAAGTCTTGGCACAAGAAAAGTGAATAAGAAGTTTTGTTGGGTTTAAAGGAAAGAAGGAGGCTCAAAAGCAAGGGAAAAGGAGGCATTACGCTTGGAAGGTAAGGCAAGGGGGTGAGGGAAGCATGTCGGCCCAAAAAGGAGGGGGCGATGGAAGACATGTCAGCCCACAAGGGGCCGAGTTATGACCACCACTAGGGGCCTGAGCTGGCCGGGCCTGTCGCACCAATGGCGCCCCACTGGAGAGGCAAGTGAAGGTGGGTGCATCACTGCACTGTACGCATGGGAAGGTAAGAGGGCGAAATGTCAAACCTGTGACCTCTTGGATGGTTAAACAAGCACCAACTAACCAAGCTACTTCATATCTTGTATATGAAGGTACACCAGCCTATACTTATTTTAATGGACGACACTGATAGCAAAGTAAAGGGGCCACAACCAGCCAGGCTCATGATGATTGATGTTCAAAATGACAAATTGACCTCTATACCTCTTGGCTTACTTAGTTTATAGATGTTTCGTACTACACCAACCTTGTTAAAGGTGCATTAAATTTATTTTCTCGATTAGATATTGAGCACAAAAAGTAGTATATATTTTCATTGTTGTATGCATCTTCTTTGCATGACTCGGTTTTTAACCCATAGTTGGTACATGTTAAAGTTGGCTTGTATTTCAGATTTTTGTAGCTGTTGGTTTTGCTATTTTGTGGATGAAAACAAGTTTAAAATGATTTTTCTGCTATTATATATTGGGTTTTGTTACTACTTTTATATGATTTTACTAGTGATTTATTCAGCTCAAGCTATGATTTCAAGAACTATAGCAGGTTCCAAATGGCTTTGCAGAAAGAAGCAGATCTTCTGTACATTGTTGATGATGATATGATCACTGGGAAGAAAATGTTGCGGATTCTAGCGCACGTTGCTTCACTACTTTTAGATTTTTGTTTATATTTTTTTCGCTCCTCATATTGGTGCTTTGGTTTTTTATTTTTTTTTTTTTCTGTATTTTGGAGGTTAGCATGATGAGAATAGAAGTTTTGAATTTCAAAAATCTAATCTTACCAAAATACATCAGATAGAGATCTATAGAGAGACTTCCACTATAGTCTCCTAAACTCTAGGTAAGACTAAACCAAAGGAAAGAGAACCACTATTACAAAGCATATAATAAAACATTATTAAACATAAATATTAATAACACTAACACACCCCCTCAAGCTCAAGGGGGTTGTGAAACGACATTGAGCTTGTCCCGAAGAGCCTGGAACCGTGGAGCAGGTAAAGGTTTGGTGAAGACGTCTGCTATCTGATCTTTCGTACACACAAAACTGACAACAAAATCTCCGGAAGCTACCTTGTCCCGAACAAAGTGATAGTCGATTTCCACGTGCTTTGTCCTTGCGTGGAAAACCGGGTTGGCTGCCAGATAAGTCGCGCCAAGGTTATCACACCATAGAGTAGCCGACTTCCCGGAATGCAACCCAAGTTCCCGGAGAAGAGATACAATCCAGGTAACCTCTGCCGAAACATCTGCTAGGCCCTTGTACTCTGCCTCTATCGATGATCGTGCCACCGTGCGCTGCTTCCGTGATAGCCAGGACACCAAATTGGTGCCAAGATAGACCGCATAGCCACTAGTAGACTTCCTGTCGATCGGACACTCAGCCCAGTCTGAATCTGAATAAGCATGTATGTCGGTGCTAGATGACGGTGTGATGCATAGGCCATAACCTTGTGTCCCCTTGACATAGCGTAGTACCCTCTTAAGCAAACCCCAGTGTTCATCCGTTGGCATGTGCATGAACTGACACAGCCTGTTGACCGCATACGACAGGTCTGGTCGGGTGATAGTCAGGTACTGCAGGGCCCCTACTAGTCGACGGTACTGCGTGGGATTTTCAAACTCATCCGTTGACGGTGTGGCAGACTGTGTGACAGCAGCGGGAGTAGCCAAGGGTTTACACTCTGACATGCCGGCTCAGACTAGAATGTCCTTCATATACCTGCGCTGAGATAAGAGAAGACCATTGTCTACCGGAAGCGTTTCGATGCCCAAGAAGAAACTCGGTGTTCCCAAATCCCGAATTTTAAAGACTGTTGACAGACGTTGTAGCACGGTGTCAATGAGTGGTGAGTCATTGCCCATTAAGATAATATCGTCAACATATACCAGCAAGAAAACCCGTGAGTCACCAGTAGTGTAATGGAACAGTGAGACATCAGTCTTGGACGCAGAAAACCCTGCTGATGTAAGATACTCGTGTAGTCGCTTGAACCAGGCCCGCGGTGCTTGTTTGAGACCGTATAGGGAGCGCTGCAGATGACAAACGTGACCCGAATGTGCTGGGTCCTCATAACCCGGAGGCTGCTTCATATAGACTGTCTCGGCTAGGTGCCCATTAAGAAAAACGTTGTGAACATCTAACTGTCGTAGTGTCCATCGGTTCGAGACAGCCAGCGAGAACAATATACGAACCGTAGTTGGTTTGACTACGGGACTGAACGTGTCAAAAAAGTCCTCCCCCGCTACTTGGTTGAACCCTTTTGCAACTAAGCATGCCTTGTATCTTTCAATTGTACCGTCAGCTTTCCGCTTTGTGCGAAATACCCACTTGCAGCCGATGATGTTCATAGTCGGAGTAGCTGGAATTAACTGCCAGGTATTGTTATGTAAAAGGGCATTAAACTCCTAATCCATGGCGTCACGCCAATGTGAGTGACCCACGGCTTGGGAGTAGCAAGTGGGATCCGTAGTAACAGTTAAACCGTGAAACTGTTCATTCGACCCCCGAGTCTTGCGCCGAGTCTGCATTGTATGCGATGGGTCCGGAGGTGGACCCGTTGTGGCCCGAGGCTTGCGGCCACGTGGTTTCGGCTTAGTGGGAGCAGGTAGAGCGATGGGCTCCGGCTCCTGTGGTAGCGGCGGTGCATGACTTATGGGTTGATAGTCATTGTGCACCACTATTGGCCCAACCCCCCATAGCACAGGCGGTGTTGAGCGGGCGTTAACCTGCGTAGACTGCATAGCAAACGGAAAAACAGTTTCATCAAATCGGACGTGACGGCAGATAAAGATTTTTCCCGTGCGGGGGTCCATGCACCGATATCCCCTAAAAGAAACAGGGTAACCTAGGAAGATACAGGGTGCCGAGCGATATTCTATCTTGTGCCGATTATAAGGCCTTAGATAAGGATAACATCGGCACCCGAAGACACGGAGAAACGTATATGTAGGCTGGGTTTTGTATATCATATAGTGTGGGCTTTGGAATTGTATAGCTGAAGATGGGAGGCAATTTATTAGATATGTGGCTGTTTCGAAGGCATAGTCCCAATATTTTAGTGGGGTTGAACTCTCGGCCATTAAAGCTAGGCAGTTTCGACTATGTGCCGGTTTCGGCGTTCGAATCGACCGTTTTGCTCATGAGTATATGCACACGATTGTCGGTGTGAAATACCAAGAGACTCAAACACTTTGTGGAGGCGGCGATATTCGCCCCCCAGATCAGACTGAATGGCTTTGATAGAATGCGAAAATCGTCGTTCTACCATTGCCCTGAACAACTCAAAAATTTTATATATATCGGTTTTAATCCGTAAGGGATAAAACCAGGTAAAGCGATAGTGATCGTCTACAAATAACACAAAGTAGCGACTACCAGAATCAGAAATAACAGGTGATGGACCCCATATGTCCGTATAGATTAAATCTAATACATTGAAACTAGAAGTGGGTACTCTATTTAAATTGAAACGTGCCGATTTGCCGAGTTGACACGCCATACACACTTCAGACGAACTGGTATTATTTGTTGTGACTGGACAATCTTTCAGGACACGCTGTAGGACTCGATGATGCGGGTGACCTAACCGCTGATGCCACACTGTGGAGGAAGCCCGTGCGGAGATGTACGCAAAATGGGACCGTGGCACCAACAATTTGTATAAGCCGCCCGAGGTGAAACCCTTAAGAAGAACCGCCTTGGTGGTGCAGTCCTTCACAAAGAAAAGATTTTTATGAAACTCGAAATATACATTATTTTCATTAGTAAACTGGTGAACGGATAAAAGGGGTAATGATAATTTGGGTACGTGTAATATACGAGACATATGTAAATCATTAGACACGGAAGGAATAACGGCATGTCCCACACGGGAAATCCCCAAACCTGCGCCGTTGCCGACCTTCAAAACATCTCCACCGGTGTACAGATCCGAATGGCTCATCATTTGTTCATCAGGAGTAGCGTGTCCTGTATCTGGAAACCAAACATCACCCGAGAGAGTACTGCTTTGATTTTCTACGGCAACATTGACATTCGGTGGTGCACGTTCATTATATCGCTGGTAACAATAATAAGCAGTATGACCAAAGGCTTTGCAGATCTGACACTTTGGACCATTTCCGCGACCTCCTCTGCCGTTTCTGCCGCGACCGCCACCTCGACCGCCCTTACGGCCACCGGAATTCTGCCGCCCACCGGAGTTCGGATGCCCGCCGTGATGTTGACCGCGACCTGCGTAGAAGGCCGACGGGGATCCAGTGAGTTCTGAGTGACCGGCCACCGGAAATTCATCAGATATGATGAATTCTTGCGCTTGGAGCAGATCGGCTAACTGAGGCAGTGTGACCGGTGTACCAGTCACGGTGAGGCTGCTGGCCAACGCCCTGTACTCCGGTCGTAGTCCTCTGAGAACATAAAGGATCTGCTCATCCAGTGACAACGGGCGACCGGCGAGAGACAGGGCTTCCACGAGCAGCTGTGCCTTCCCCAAGTATTCGGCCGGCGTTCCATTCCCTTGTCTGAGGGTTTGAAACTGCCCTAAGAGGCTAAGACATCGTGCGCGGGTTGACGAAGCTAACGCCGATGTAATGGACAGCCATACCTCCCTCGAAGTGTTCCGGCCGACGGCGAGGTGCATCACCTCGTCGGAGAGGGAGGAGATGATCAGTGAGAGTATGGACTGATCTTGCTGAATCCAAGAGCCATATGCCGGATTCGGAACTGGGGCGGAGGCAGTGGCAACCGCCGTGGAGTCGCCGGACTGCTGGGCAGTGGTGAGCATCGCCGGTGGACAGGGGATTTTGCCGTCGATGTAGCCGAGTAAACCCTGGCCTCGTACAAACGGTACGAGCTAGGTACGCCAGAACAAAAAATTATGGGTGGTGAGCTTCATCGAGACGAAATGATGCGCTGAGGTTAGGGAGTTGGTCGCCGGCGAGGATGGGGAGGTGGTGGTGATCGTCCGTTCAGAGGAATTGGACGACATAGCCGGGAACGTTTCGCGTTGGATGAGGGTGGGTGTTGGGTGTTTGGGAATCGTAAGGAACCTTACGCAATCTGATACCAGATGAGAACAGAAGTTTTGAATTTCAAAAATCTAATCTTACCAAAATACATCAGATAGAGATCTATAGAGAGACTTCCACTATAGTTTCCTAAACTCTAGGTAAGACTAAACCAAAGGAAAGAGAACCACTATTACAAAGCATATAATAAAACATTATTAAACATAAATATTAATAACACTAACAAGCATATTAGGATCAATTGTCTTTGTTTTTTTTTTTGGCTATGGCTGCATATTAGGATCAATTATATTTAATATATTGTATAAATTGCTTTCAAAAAATATATTGTATAAATAAGATATGGTGTAGATGTGACAGGTGACTAGATAGTAGCAGGTAAAAAATAGTAAAACGGGTTTGGATCAACAATTTTAATGGATTCGAATGTGAAATTGAAACTTTTAAAGTTTGAGGGTTTATTTTAACCATTTTTTTAAAAATTTTATAATATAATTTTATTTTTAAATTTAAATATAAATAAAATTATTATCATTAAAATAATTAATACTTTATAAGAAATAATTTTATAATAGATTTATATTTATATTTTTTAAAAAATGAACCAAACTAAATAATATAATTTTTAATTTTCAACTAAATAAAGAAAGATTGTTTTATGATTTTTCGCCAAACACTCAAAAAATGAAAGTGTTTGTTTTTTTTAGGAATAAGGTTCAAATTGGCCACTGAACGTAACCTGAAAATGCAATTAGGTCACTGAACGAACAGAAAGTGCAATTAGGCCACTGAACACTCTAAAAACGTGCAATTAGGCCACTGAACTCTCCAAACGTATGCAATTTCACCGGATAGCAGGTTACCATCAATTTTAGCAGGTTACCTGCTTACGTGGCAGCTGAGTTGGCATTTTTAATAATTTTTAAATAATTTTTAATAATTAATTTTAATAATAAATTTTATAAAAAATTGAAAAAAAATTAAATAAAAAATAAAATAAAGTCGTTTTTATTTTTTAAAAATTTTTTTAAATAAAAATTTATTAAAAATGCCAACTCAGCTGCCACGTAAGCAGATAACCTGTTAAAATTGAGGGTAACCTGCTATCAGGTGAAATTACACATTTTTGGAGTGTTCAGTGGCCTAATTGCATTTTCAGGTTACGTTCAGTGGCCAATTTGAACCTTATTCCTTTTTTTTATTACAAAGGAAGGGGGATACCCATACAATCTATGCCTACACTAAGGCTCGAAACCTAGACCTCCCACATAAGGGAGCCATTCGATACCAGTGGACCACAAGCCACCGGTAATGAAAGTGTTTGTTGATACTAGAATTAATTTAAAGTATTATTTAAATTTAAATAAAATTATACTCCGTATTAATAGATGGGTATAAAATAAAAGATGATTAAAATGATAGTCCACAAATAGTTACAACTATTGTATGTAGATGTTGTCAATTATCGCTTTAAAGATCAGAATAAGATAAATTCCTGATTTGATGGCCGCCATGACTAATTGACAAGAAGCAAGTTCATTCTTTGCAGGGAAGAAAAATTAAAGATTTTATTTTAATTTTAATTTTTATTATTTTTCAAAATGAAGCCAGAAATCAAAATTTTATTTATTCTCGATCTTCATGTTCAAATAAGAACTTAT